AAAAAAATAGTTTTTGAACACAGCTTCTCATATTACCTGTCATAGTGCCAGTAAGTCTGATAATACACTCTGAGGTGTACTGATATAGAAAAATAACAGACACAGGACAGTATTATTGCTTACTGGAGCCCAACCAGTACTTTGGCATGGTCTATATTACTGTATATGCCAATTTTATCTTATCACAAGTTTATTTCAACTAGAGCCTAAAACTATGTCCTGTTTAGTATACACAGCACCTCAGTCACATCTGTTGTTGTTATAATCCAACTATCGGCCAATATATTGGCCTAAAAAGTCCAGTATTTTTAATGTTGTATTACTTACATATTCACAAATGTTTGTATCCACGTTGTTGGCCTCTGCAGAATTGCAACTTGAGAGACTCTACAGTCCAAGATAGATGCTGTGCTCAAGGTTATGCCATCACATAAAACACAGGTCTTCGTTGTTCCCGATGATGCATCATGAATCTCAGTGCTTCCAATTTGTTCTTCCAGTTGACTGACTCACCAGTGCCGCCTCCATATTTTATGGTTGGCTCAAAGAGTCTTTATCCATCCGTTCTCCTCAATCTTGTTTTTTAAGATTGCCCATGGCTGGTGGATAATAATTTCAAAAGTGTCACAAGGACATAAATACAGACCATACTGTGACTTTTCCGATGTTTGACAGAAATGAAATAAATAACAGCTGCTGCTCACATGAGAAAAATAGAAGAGTCACACCTCTGTGTCTGGCCTAAATGTCCTCCTGCTGTTTTTTTTGCCTGACATTGCAGGTTTGCATGCTGACTGAGAATGGCCCACAACTGCAGTGTTTCAGCCCCACTCTGCAGGGATTACACGCAGATTAATGAAGAGGCAAAATCCCTCTCCTCCTTTCTACTTTTTTTGCTGTGTTTGTGTATGCGCATGCGTGTCTGTGTGTGTGTGTGTGTGTGTGTGTGCAGATACAGTACTCTGTGTGTGTGAGTAAGCAACTTTTATGTGCTTTTACTTGGTAATTTGCGGGTTTGCAGGCAAGGTTAAATCAGGGTTTAAATTGGATTAAAACAATTTTTTTTAGTAGCCTGATAATCAGACTTAATTGCTGTATCGTTTACTCAGCATGAATTAATCTGGCATTCTATTCATGTTAGTGGAAGTAGCGTTTTTTTGGTCTAACCAATCAGGGAATGAGCACCAAACCTTCTGGGTAATTCTGGCTAGTTTTCAGAATACAACTGTTCTTTCAACAGCATTCAAAGCTATTTGAATAAACCTATTTCAATGTGGACCAGCTACTTACATACAGAAATATATTCATCTGAAATGCAGTTCCAACAGCATTTATACGTTACCAAGACCTTGCACTTTTCAGCTAAACGTTGTCAGGTTTTAACCCATTCGTCTGCAAATCACAAAATCAGTCAGAGTTACTAAGAATTAATGTGTGAACTAGTGAATGAGGGAGGGAGTATGGGCAATAAATAAATGAATGAATACTTCCTTTAGTGAATGAGTGAGTAAGTAACTGTTCACCAGGATTAATGAAGAGACAACCCCTTTCTCCACCACCTCCTCTGTCTCTGCGCCTTTGCATTGTGTGCGTGTGTGTGCGCGCGCTTACTTCCTCGAGGCTCTAGTCATCAGCATTGAAACGAATCCAAAAGCGTTGCCTTCCTCTCCGCTAGGATGTTTCGTCCTTAGCATTCACTCAGCGTGTGCCAGTGTCGACAGGTGATGCCAAGCAGATGAATAGAGAAAATGCTCTTTGTTGCTCCTTATGCTCATCCCCTCTCTCTGTCTCTCTCTCTCCCTCTCCCCAGGCTGCTGTTTTGTCACGTTTTACACAAGGAAAGCTGCCCTTGAAGCCCAGAATGCACTGCATAACATAAAGACCTTAACAGGGGTGAGTGTGTGTCCTCGATTCTCCTCTGCCTACTTTCTCCTCTAATCACACACTTACAGCAGCACCCTGAGGCGGCCCCGCCCCAACCTGTGTGTGTGTGTGCGTGAGTGAATACACGAGTGAACATCAGTGTGTGTGCACCGCTGCCACAGTGCATTTGCAAGCGTGTGAGTGACCAAGTGACTGAAAGTGTGAGCAGGTGAGCAACTGAGTGTCAGTGTTAGTTTGTCCATGTTAAAGGTACGCTGTGGAGCTTTTCTTGTAAACAGTTTGTTTCCATTATAAAGACCCTTTTCACTGTAGATGATATATAAAATGAATGATGGCTGGATTCCATTTAGCTGCTTTAGTTTTAGGGTCCTGGTATTATGTATGCTGACTCGTTGCCATGGCTGACTGGGACACTTGAATAGAACGGAGCCCTATTGTCATACTGTGTGCGTCCTTAAGGCCTAACAAACATGTTGAAAGCATTTTTTAACTCATAATTTTTTTTTGAAAAGCTGATTTAAAAACATATTTATAAATCTGCATTGTTTACATCCACAAACAGCCTTTTTCTTGTCCTCCTTTTTCAGCAAGTTGTTACCTTTAACCATCACCAATTGGTGATATGTGGGTGAAATTGCATGAAACCACAGGGGGGTTAAGTTCCCTTTGATTCGACAGATGTAGTCAGACAAAGCTTTTTGTAGCTATTGCCCAATAAACTGTGCTCGTGGCATGCATGCAGTGATACTGTATAGCACAATCATTGAGACATTGCTCTACAGCACCACTAGAGGCCAAAAACAGTTCAAATACAGGTGTTTGCATGCTCGCCTGCGTCTAGTTTCTACATATCTGAACAAGCATGAGCTTGACTGTAAAGGAGTGTGTTGATGCTGTGGCATTGGCTTTCTTTCATGTTGTCTGCTCCGTTCTCCTCCATTGTTCCCTCCCGCGGCCCAGGAGAGCGATAGAGGAAGCGGGCCGGAGCACTCACTCTTTTAGCCCTGGGTGGATATTTAGAGGCCCCCTGATCCCTCCTGCTAGGGCTATTGGCTGCTTCCCCACCTCTCTTCTTGGCTGCACCAGCTAACTGGAATCTCATCAGTTGAGCGCCTGCATTCGCTCGCTTCTGTCAGTTGAATCAGCAGATAGCCCCCGTGGGCAGCACAGGGTGGATACTGCGAATCCCACAAGAGCTACCCGGGATTTGTGCTTGGGTTTCCAATTCGGAGTCAAGCTTGTTGTTTTGCACAGTGTCACCGTGTTAATTGCTCGTGGAATAAGTATGTTAAATTTGGTCTGTTTTCCTACGTCGTGAGAGTTAGTCACTTATCCCCTTGTTGGAGGTGTGAAACAGCCCTGGGGAGGACACACACTGCAGCAGTTTCAGGATTATGGGAACATGAAATCGCCTTCTTCTACACCATCTTCAACACCCTCCATCCCTGTGTTCTGTCTGGTCATCCCTTCTCCTCGCTAGCTTTTCTCTCCTGCGGCATCTCTAGCTGGTTGTTATGTTTGGGGCTTTTTGAAGTCACCACTTAATTTGGATTGTAGTTGCTTGCAAGGGCATGAGTTTGGTTTCAGAAGTGGAGTTCTGTGAAGTGTTCTTCAATCTTCAGAAAAAAAGAACTTAAAAAGAACTTTATGAATGCTATATCCTGCATTTATATGCATTTATGTCAACACATTATGCTGCATTTGGAATGCACTAACCCGTCTTAAAATCACATTTAGTTTGACTGATGAAGACCTGATACTTAAATGTCCCCTGTGGAGTTTTCTTGTTAACAAACACGGTTATATTTAAATTCAGCGTTCATCATTCAAAAGATGAAACAACACAATAAGAAACTGCAGGCTCTAGCTGCAAGATTAAATGCAAAACGTACTGGGAGTACCGGGGGATTCTTAGCCCCCAGTAAACCCTTTTTTTGTTTGTGACAGTGCAGGAAAAATTAGAACTGCCCATAGAAACCCAGACGACATTGATCAAAGGCATAATATGTACGTAATTAAACCTGCATCATATTTATCATGTCAGTGCTGGACAACACTTACTGGCTGACATCCGATTTTTAATAAAAAGTACAGTATTGACAGCCGGATGCGGTTTAAGCCTAACCAATAAATACAGTACACTCCCTCACACACTCAAAACACTGAATCAATAGTGGTATAATGACATATCATTAAGTGGTTTGTGTAGGATTTGTTGATCATTTTTTAATAGGGTTTTTAAGCTCGCTCCCCCTCTGCTTAAAATAAAAAGGAGGGTCAGAAACAGGTGAGGGGAGTCAGCTCGAGACAGGGGGAAAACATGGATGATGAGGATGGTGAATTAATTGCTGAACGAGGCAAGACAAAAGGAGAGCTGACACAGAGAGGGAGAAATTGAACGAGAGGTTAGCCGAGTGATGGGCAGATGGACAGTAAAAAAGCGGAGTGCAGCACTCCAGCACGCTCGAGGGCAAAGCAATAAACGGGCCGCAGTTAAAAACCAATACCTGCTTATTAACTTCCCCACTCTCCTGGCTTGTAAAAAGCCAGTGGAACAATGTTTGTATTGGCACTTTTCCCCACCCCTCGCTCTATCTCTCCTTCCAAACCCAAGGCCCTAACAGGGAGAGATGCAATCAGAGTGGAAAGCTGGACAAGGGCCAAATTGGAGAAAAGTGCACCGGTATTGGCAGCACCGACCGGCAGCCATGTTGGTTTAGGGAAGGAACAGTTGGAAAGGCTGCCGTGTTTTGTTGGGTTTTTTTGTAGGAGGGCATTAAGCGAAAGGGTCTGTGGTTAATGTGATAAATCTCTCTCTGCACGGTACTCAGAGAGGCAGTGGAGGCAAAAAGAGTGAAGGTTCAGGCTTTCTCGCAGGAGGAAAAAAAATCTGCAACAAACAGCAGCTCCTTTTGCTTCTCTGCCAGCCTCTCCTCATCTCTCTATCTCCCTCCATCACTCCTTAGCTGTCTCCGCTGACGATTTGTCAGCAATCTGACAGCGCAAGTATACCAAATGTATGCATATGTGATTTAATGCATGCAGAAAGTGTATATTCATGTCAGCTCCAGAGCTGTCTGTCATACTTCAGCAATGAAGTAATGTTTCCACAGCATATGCAGGTCAGAACAGGAACGGGGATTCTTGTTTTCAGTTGTTACACATCTGTATCAAAAAAGTGCCTGAATTCTTTTTTTTTTTTAAAGGAGGCGATTGGTCCCTTCACACCCGCAAGTTGTTGTGTCTCCTGCTGTAAAAAGACACTGTGGTTTGCAGTAAACAAGGTCATTTTGTGATGAGTCAGAAAAGCTTTCAGATATGGAAGAATGTTGGGAAGAAGGATAAAGTAAAAAAGCAGTCATTACTGCGACGGCAACTAACTTGGATTCAAGCGCAGTAATGCAGTGTATGAAAAGGATTTTTATTTTTTAACACTTTTGCATAGAGACATGTTCACATACTTGTTTTTGCACTTAGTTTTTTTGGTACAGATTCAAGGTCCAGTGTGTAACATTTAGGAGGATGGAATATAATACTCATGTTTTTATCAGTGTATAATCACCTGAAAATAACAATTGTGGTTTTGTTACCTTAGAGTGAGACATTTTTATGTACAGAAGGTACACAGAGTCCACCACGTCTCCTTCTTTGAGTTCCATAACCACCCTAGTTTCTCCTACACGCTTGGAAGAGTGAGCTGTATGAGATGCTAGATGCCACGAAATCCTACACACTGGTCCTTTAACTAATTGTGATATAACATGTTAATTATTGGACAGAGCCAGGCTAGATGACATTTTGTATTTCACGTGATGACATCGCGATCAGTCATCATAAATAACACAATCACATCCATGCAGTGTGAGTCGGATGAAACTGGCACGTTTTGGTTTTTTTATCTCCTAGATCCAGTGTTATCGCCCAAACTTTCATGCTTCAGTTGGACTATGCCATCTCAGTAACAGCACAGCACATACATGAGCTGCTGGATTGATCTACAGGAAGTAAAAGAAGCCAGATTTCTTTTCAATAAAATAATGTGTCATCTGTATGACATGACATGGCATCTTTTCGGTGAACACAGGCGAGCAAAACTGTTTCTCAAAGAACAGCTTTCACTGAAGTTGTTTCTAATGACCTGCTAATGAAGCTCTGGGGGGGTGGAGACAAAGTGCGCGTGTGTTGCCTGAAGAGCCGTGTGTTCATCTCTCCAACTCTAATAGCACTAGTGAGGTCTAAATATGTTTCTTTTCATGCACGCACACACTCACACACGCACACAAAACCCCCACCATAACCCATCTATCGTCGAAAAACATGCCCTGTACCCCCAGAGCGATTTAAAGCCATAAGACCCAACCCCTGCTGCACAGACTGATCCACACCCCTGCATGACTCTTTAACACACACTTACACACACACTTTTATGTGCACACAAGCATATGCCCCAGCACAGCCTGGGTTTATTACATTACATTTATTTTCTTTCACATTATTTGTTTTTTTTCCCATTTTTTTTTTTTTATTTCCCCCTCCTGATCCACTCAGAGACAAACCCACCCTCCATGCTAACACAGCACACACGCTGAGACACACACACACACAGCAACAACAACACGCGGCGAGTTAAAGCCTGTCAGCCAGCCTGTCAGACAAGGTTGTTTGAGATTTTCCACTAAATTGAACTCTTTCATTAGTGGCTGACAGATGTCTAAATGCCCGGTGTCTCCCCTTTTTTCCCTCCCACCCACCACCGACACCCGCCAAGAGGGCCCCGGGGCCGCTGTTCTACGTCTGAAGCTGGGCAGAGGAAGGAGGGTGGAAGGATTTGAGAGATGGAAGGATGAAGGGAGGGGTGAGAGCTAATCTAGGACGTGTCCTCTGGAGTGCCCTCCAGCTTGGAGAAGTTCAGTCCTTTATCCTCGTTTTCTTTCTTCTCTCACTCTACCCTACCTCTTGCCCTCTCTCCATCCCTCCCTCTCTCTTTCTCTTTGTCAAAAAGGATGAAA